TATTACTCTATTTTCTGAATTCGACTCAAATAATTTTTAAATATCTTTATATTTTGATTAAATGCTAATTTTTTTTTCAAACGATTAAAATAAATATTATTATTTTTGTTTAAAGTAAATTGCTATTGTAAAAAAATAAATAAATAAATAAAATAAAAAATAAAATAAAAAATCGAATTCGGGTTGGCGGGTAATGCAAACAAAAAATTAACTTGGTGTGGCCTTATTAAAAAAAAAATCAAGGTTTTGAAAAATTTGGGTCTGCGGTAATGAAAAATGAAAATTTAACTTTTTGTGGCCTTATAACCTATTATGAAAATCTATAAATTATTATACTATACCATTTTTTTTCTTGAAGCTTAAAACTAATAAACTAATATATAGTTGGGCTTCCCAAATCTGATATGCACGGTGGACTGGTTTTGTATCATTATTGAGAGACTATCAAGTTTGAATATATAATAAACTTTTGAATATATAAAAGAAATAGACTTAATAGATTCATTTTTTTAATCAAATTTCACAGGATTAGTTTTGGGTGGTTCAACTGTGTCTATAAAACACTGGCGCTTTATTACTAGCTCTACCATTAATTTTAGATGCACTCCCGATTTAATAGTAACGCAGGGCAGCCGTGATTACAACCCGAATATTTGATAGCTTGATCCAGATACAATCACTAAATTGCATGAAAGATTTTTCTTATTTATTCGCGTTGCTTTGAAATTATAATTAATTATACTATATTAATATGTGACAAAGTTCTAATGATACAAAAGTGCAATAAACAAAAATAATGTAGTGATAACAGTAATAATGATAATAGTTTAATAAATTATTAATTGTTTAAAAATCATCGGCGCAAGTGATGTGCTAGTTAAATGTAAAAAGTTTTGGACAATATATAAACCTAAAATTTAGTAATTAAATCCAATTGAAAACTATCAAGAATTATTTCTTTAGGAAATACCACACCAAAAGGATAAAGAGGAATATCTTGATGTTTTAGACTCGCTGTAAATATGCCAGCTATAGTTACCAATCTCAAATTTGAAAAATCTGAAAAATAATAAGCAGGACCTCCACTTTCACCACCGACGGCTGACATCTTGTCTATATAGATTATGTTTGGCCGATAGTCTCCATCTTCATTTAAAAAAATCCCATTAAATGCATCTATGTAACCACAAGAAACTAATGAAGTGACACCAGACCTGCATAAATGTGCACCATGGCTAGATACGGGCGGACCATCAATGATAGTTAATTCACGATATGAAGCATTTTCATCATTCCTTATATTCGTTGATGGTCGAAGATTACGCATACTCTCTATATCAATTAAACCAAAATCGTATGGAGATATAGAATAATATACCAATTCACCAATTAAAATGGGATTATTACCCATGGAAAAAAAATGTTTTTTAGTTTTACTTTCACGTGTCCCATAACAATGTCCTGCAGTTACAAGAAATGTTTTAGTTCTACTTTTTGCCCAAAATCCTGCTGAACACGTTGCACTATCGATTGCATTATAAATACCATCTCCAGATAATAACAAGGGTCCCACATGCATTTTGCCTGGGCCCCTTTTAGTAAGTGGTGTAGTATCTTTAAAAGGAGAATATATATCCGCACCAAGTCGCCTTGCTGTTTCTATCAAAGCTCGAGAATGTTGATCAGGTGGCCAAGTTACAACTACAACGATGTTATTAAATCTTGGGTGAATGCTGATAAATATGCCTTTTGGTTTATTCTGCTTAGCTATTGTATCTAATTCGTTAAACGAGGATTTTAAACGAGCCAAAGATTTCCTTACTCGTCTAAAGTCCAAAAGCCTTTCATGTTCTCTCACATCAGGCTTAGAAATTATATCATGCTTCTTAGTCATATTTACTGTATAAATTATTACAGAATTAGTTTTTACATCTATATAAGTTCCAGCGAAATTTGAATCGTCTAGATATCGTCCTAATGTTTCATCCACATTTTTTAATTTTGATTCTATAATTAAGTACAATGGTACTTGATCATATTGTACGCCCCATAATTTTGCCAATTGTTCTTGAGCATGAATCATTAAATGGATTTGGAACGTAAAAATAAATAGCAATAAATTTATTACCATGTAAATGTATTTCATTTTAATAGACACATAAAATAAAGACATTTAAGTAAATTTAAAATTTTCGTCAATTACTTTTAGGTATCTATCAAAGTGCATGGTATTTATATCCATGACCATTAAATGGTGTCAAAAATTAAAATTAGAGTGGGAATAAACAAATTTTTTGTTAATACAATGCCGATAGTTCATGAAAACTGATCCTTCCAAAACAAATCAGCCATTCTTGATGTATCGACACATTATTGTTCAGTATGTTATGATAATGTCGTGCCTGGGTTGTAACTCAGGTGTTTGATGTTGCTCCTGCCTAAAATTGTGCTAACTTCAGGCACGACAATAATATTTCGTATATGGTTAATCTGTTTTCGATGATTTTAAATTTGAACAACTCTTATAATTTATAGCAATCGTTTAACAAAATCAAATGATGATTTAGTATTTTTAAAATATGAAAGAAATTTATTGTATATTATTTTTCCTGTATCTTTTTCGTGACCATTATATTATATTTGACTTTGTAAATTCCTGCAAATTAATATTTTTCATTTTATCCTCATTGAATTTTATGAATCCTATGAATCCCGTATTACATAAATTTAAAAGCAGCGATAATTCTTTTTATTTTGATCATTTCTTTTTAGATATTTACATTCTACTATTCCAGCAACGCATGATACAAATCACGAAGTATATGGTTAACTACTATCTGTAATGAGCGTGTGCAAAATCGTAAAGATGATTGGATAATGATCAAAAATATGAAATGAGTGCGGGAAAGGGATTACTAGTGTAAGCCACCCAGTTTATTTAGTAAAATTTTTGTTAACCTTACCCTTACTAACTATTACAGCACATATAATGTGTAGTTAAATTAGTTTCGTTATACTTATTATAATTTCTACTATGAGCTACTATAAAAATTCTGTTGCAGAACTCATTATTCAAGTATTATAGTATGTGTTAATTTAGTTTGTATTAGAATTATGTAATTTATATCATGAAAGTTCTGTCGCAGAACTTACTTTCTATCTTACTGTAGCAATACATAGTATGTGGTTAAGGTTAAGATAGTTTGCATTGAAATTATTGTAATATCTATCATGAACTATGTATTTATTATTTCAATACATAGTTAGGGTATATCCTAATTTCGCCGATATCTATTTCGTTGACGCTAATTTCGCCAACAGCCATTTTGCTGACAGCTCAATACAGCTCACTTACCCGAATCCATTTCTGACATCCCAATTCACCGAAAGCTCCTTTTCCAACACTAATTTTACAAACAGCTATTTTGTTGATAACCTCTTATGGTATAAACGTACTCTGCTAACAATCACTTTGCCAACAGCAATTTCATTGGCTTGCTTTACAGTTGGCGTAAGCTAGAGGTAGTTTGTCAATGAAATCTACCAAAATCTTTTTTTGTTGGTAGTCATTTTTATCTTCTAGCTAATTTGTGAATATAATCTAAGGTCTATAAATAGTTATTAGTGAAATAGCTGTTGGCGAAATGGGATGTCAGAGAAGTGAGATTTTGGGAAAGTGGTATCAAAGAAGTGGATTGTCAATGAAGTGGGTTGTCAATGAAGTGGGTTGTCAGTAAAATTGGTAGCAATGAAATAGTTGTTAGTGAAGTTTACTAAACCCCATAGTTAGGGTTAAGTTAGTTTGTATTGGAATTGTACAGGATATAAATATGACTCTATGATGCACATAGTGATATTTAAGTGTAAAATTTCTATTTTTTACTGCGTATAATAAATTGTCTTAGTTATGAGAATTTGCAGACATATAGTATATAATTAAAAATGCTATAGTAATTTACTTTGTAATATATCATTCTATTTCTGTATTCCTGGTAAATTATTTTTTAGAATTTATATTACCAATACAAATTAGTATTTTATCTAGAAGATTTTTTTTTATATTTTAATTTTCACTTTTTTCTTTGTTATAAATGCAGTTTCAATTTAAGTTATATTTTATATCAATATCTAGCATACTGGTTTAAAATAATAATAGGAATGAAAATACAGTAAGTTTAGCCAAATATATAATCATCAGTAGAGAGAAGTGGCAGTGCTAATTTTATATAGATCTTTCAGTAATAATATTATATAAAGTAATGGAGTATTTATTATCATGAGATCAAATAACTTTATTGCAGATTACAGGCTTTTTTGTTGAAAACAGGTTTTTATATAGTACTTTATTAGTACTAGGTTTGTATATATGAGTAATAATTGTTATATCAAGGGTATTAAGAATAGTTTGTGCATATGAATGGTAGGTATTTTAGAAGCAAGTAGATTATCATTCATTCACTGTTGCTTACTTTGGAAAGGCTGACTTAATCACCTCCTATACTTCCAATGCAGTATAGAATAAAATTTAATTTTTAATATAAATAATAGGGTTTCACATCTGCAGTGTCTATACAGTGATCTTGGTCAGGCTCCACAGTTGCAATGGCTTCTTGTTGTCAATGTTCAGGCTCTGCAACTACAATAGCAATATAAGGACAATAGAAGTTTTAACAATTAGATGCACCAATTCTTAACTTTTAGCTATGTAATTATTTGCTATTTTGTATTAGTCTATCTTCTTTCTAGTAGTATAATTGGTTTGGATCATTAATAAATTAGGATATTTGTACTCAGACCAAGTTATAGGATCACAAAATGTTGGGTTTGGCTAGGCTATTGAAGAAAACTTTAATAGTTCAGATTTAAATATGCTTGTAAAGGTTAGAGCTTGCTAATGATAACTAGCCTATTCTATATATTTTTTTTTATATAGTAATTAAGTCTTGAATTAAGTAATAAAAAATCTATTTGTAGCAGTAGAATAATGTTACATATTTAATATTGAAACAAATCTATCACTGTATTGTAATCTTTATTCTTCATTACATTTTTATTATAGAAAAAGTTTATTTAATACCTGTCTTATTTTTCAACTTTTTATCCCTTATTTTGCCAATCAAAATATCTTTTAATCTTTGTATGATAATATGCAATACATAATTAACAAATGAAAAATTGATCTATAGGTTGATGAGTCGACAACTACCTCAGTGACACTAACAGATTTTTACTGATCTGCAATCTAGAATATTCTATTATATTTAATTAGCCAATCAAAATTTGTTTATTTGTTATCATAAGTTTGTTTATTTGTTGTCATAGCATATTAGAAATAGCACATATATATATACTATTTGATATTGAGTAGAAATAGTATATATGTATGTGCTATTCAATATTGTGTAGAATAGCATATATATATATGCTATTTCTACTTAATACCGAATAGCATATACGTATGTGCTATTTTTACTTAATATCAAATAGCATATACATATATGCTATTTCTACTTAATATTAAATAGCATATACATATATGCTATTCCTACTTAATATCAGATAGCATATACATATATGCAATGTCTACTTAATATCTAATAGCACATACGTATATGCTATTCTTATTTAATATCGAATAGCACATATATATATGCTATTCCTACTTAAAATCGAATAGCATATACATATATACTATTTCTACTTAATATCAAATAGCATATATGTATATGCTATTGCTACTTAATATCGAATAGCATATATGTATGTACTATTTCTACTTAATATTAAATAGTATATACATATATATATACTATTCTTACTTAATATTGAATAGTACATATGTATATGCTATTTCTACTTAATATTGAATAATATATACATATACTATTTGGTATTAAATAGAAATAGCATATACATATATACTATTTTATATTAAGTATCAATAGTATATATATATATGCTATTTGATATTAAGTAAAAATAGTATATAAATCTTAAATAGCACTAGTTACTTGAATTGGTTAAGCTATAATCAGTTAACTGGTCCAAACTAAATAAATTTTAGATAACTGATTAAAAAAATTCTTAATTGATTAACCTGGTACAACCTGCTGGCAGGATCAGAAAATGACAAAATGATATAATAAGTAGGAGTAAATATTCTGAAAAGTTCTAAAAAAATAAATGAACAAACAAAAATTAGAGTAAAGCTTTAAGAATTTTTGAAGGTAGCAGAGTATTAATATTAACTAGCTAGCAACTGGTTGAATAAAAATAATTCAGTTTAGTTAACCGATTAAAGAATTTTTTTTAGTTCAAATCACTAAATAGCATATACATATATGCTATTTAATATTAAGTAAAAATAACATATACATATATGCTATTTCTACTTAATACTAAATGGTATATATGTATATACTATTTGTATTAAGTAGAAATAGTATATACATCACAATTAAAATTAACTTCTATCTAATAGTTTTCTTTTTTAAACTTTTTTTAGCTCCTCTAATATGTTTGTTTCCTTCCAATATTCTTTTGATATAACTAGCTCTTTCATTATCTGTATTACTAGAAAGATTATATAATAGTATATTAGTAAGAAAAATCTTGTTATTATTACATATTCTTTTTTTTGATAACTAAATACTTTGTTCTAATAGAATAGTATAAATTAGAGAGTTTTAGTTTATATCTTAGATTTCTATCATCTTAACTTCTTCTTGTTTGTATTTTTCTTTTTGTTTAACAGTATTTACAAAAATTCTATTAATCAGAGTATTTTTATCTTTTTTCAACTTTTTCTATTAATATATCTATGCTATTACATTTAACTTCCAAACTTCTTGAGAAGTCTACCTTTAGAGTATATATATTGCTTGTCTAAATCTTTAATTTTGATTTAATATTCAACTCTTGTATTTGTTTTATAATCTTATTTATATTTTTATTAGATTTTTCTTCTTCTTGTATTTGTTTCTTAAAGCCTGTTACTTGTTTTGTTTTAGCAAGAGTCACTTTTTCTATTCTATATATTTTGTTCTTTTTTTTCTAAATTTTCTCTTCATGCATATTTATTATATATTCAATTAATACTAGATTATTTCTTGCAATCTTGGCTACGAGCACAACATTTCACGTGACTATTGTCTTATTAGCACAACAAAATTGACCAATAAGAGCCCACATAATTTTAACATGATTTTTAGCCAATCAGCATTGTGTAAATCTATCATCACATGCTATGTAAATTGATTGTCTACGCGTATAAATTGATTGTCTACGTGTAATTTGTAGATCAAATATCTAAAGCTTTTGCATATTATAATATCAGTATATCTTTTCATCTTTTGAATAATGAATATGAATAACTATACAAATTTAAATAGCCCAAATAATTCTTCATATTGCAGTGTTAACTTATTTAATACTCCAGCTTCAAGTAATACTGACAAGTGTGAATTGGAGAAAGACCGGATTAGCTTAGAGAAGAAAAAAGATGGTACAAAAAGTGAAGGTTGGGCAGGTTAAGGGTTGTAATATCTTAATACGATATAACTTGTAATTGCTATTATTAATATTTTCTTTTTTTTTTTACAAGCTATAATAATTGTTGGCCAAAATTATGATACAAAGGAGGATATTCTTAATGTTGCTCAAAAAAATGCCAAAAATTTGGGATTTGCTGTTTCAACTAAAAGTAGTAGTTCTCACATCTCTATATCCAATATAAATGTGGTGGTCAGCCTAAGAATTGTTAGAATCTAATAATAGATAAACAGAAAAGAAAAAAGATGAGTAAGTGCTATGAATATCTCTATTTAATCAAAGCAATTCCAAATGATTCTAAGTGGTGTGTTGTAGAAATTAAAAATAAACATAATTATCTAATGGTAAAGGATGTGCGAGTTTTTCATGAACACTGTCAACTAACACAAGAAGTAAGACATATTACAGTAAAAATGTTAAAAGCAGGTACAAAGCCTGGCATGATCTATGAGGCTGTTAGAAGTGAAGATGGAACTCCAACTATAACAAAAAAAGATATATCCAACTTAAATATATGGATTAATTTTTTAGAAGAAACAGCATTAATGGCAGCATTAATAACAGGTATGGAGGAAAGAGGGTATACTGTGTGTCAAGAAACTTATAAAGGAAGGTATTTTATATTTTTATTTTATTTATTATTATTTTAGTGAACTAATAATAGTATTATTAATATAGACAGACCAATTAAGTATTTATTTTTTTGTCATGTGGAATCTATTAAAAATGCTAGATGTTTTTCTGAAGTTGTTTTAATTTATGCAACATATAAAACCAACATTTACAAGTTGCTATTTGTAAACTTTGTCGGCATTAGTAATCTTGGGATCAATCATTTGCATACTTTTGGTATTGCTAGCATCTGGATTTCAGACGAATCTGAAAAATCATACGCTTGGATTATTGAACAGCTTGCTTCATTCATTTTTTCTGACACCTTTCCTTCAGTATTTGTTACAGACAACACTTTGCGCTTATTAGTGCTCTTGGAAAAGTATTTTCCAAATCTGAACATCTTTTATGCACCTGGCATATAATGAATAATTTTAAAAAAAAATTGAAAAAGTATTTTAGTAATGTTTTATTCGATGAAGTTATGAAGACAATAGACAAGTTCATTCATTTGAGAGATTGTGAGGCATTAAATGCTGTGATAACTACCTATAAGAAGCTGGCTTCATCAAGTTCTAACAAAAGTGAAGTTTTAAAATATCTTGACAGGTAAGTATTACATTATCTTTTAAATTTATTATTATTATTATTATTTATTTATTTAAAATATAAGTTATTAGTCCTTTTAGTATAGTATGTATAGATCTATTTTAAAAGATGAGTGAAATGTTCCATATTTTTATTCGAAGCTAACCGAATAACTTATGCTAAGAGTTGTTATATTAAGTTATACATCCCAGACAATTATGTTATTATTTATGGTTAATAACTGATTTATTACAATAGATTCTACATTATTACTAGTAGTGCGAGCCGTTGCATTATGAATTTTATAACTTTATCAGCATTATTAGTAAATATAGCTCTTTGCTATTTAAGTATATGTTGTATCTTGATGAATGATTAGTTATTATCTATCGCATAATTAATAACAGCACTTGTCTTATTATTATTATTAATTTTATTTTTTTGATTTTTTTATTTTTATTTTTTATTTTATTATATTTAATTCGTGATCGATGAGGAAACCAGTAAAAAAATATAGTAAACTTTGAAGATATGTTTACTATATAAATTTTGTCTTTTTTGGAATCTGGAGTTTCCCAAAGATAAATCATTTTATTACTAAGCAAATCTTTTTTAACTTCTAACAAAAGTTGTAGAGAAGTGAATTTCGAGCAAAATGGTAGTTAAACCATTAAAATTGGCCTAGTGGATCATAAGATATAGACGCTTTTGTCTTTGCGATTATATGTTTACTTTTTTATGTAAACAAAGAAGTAAATGTATAGTCGCAAAGACAAAAATGTCTATATATCATGATCTACTAGGCTAATTTTAATGTTTCAACTACCATTATACTCGGAATTCCCTTCTTTACAACTTTTGTTAGAAGTTAAAAACAAGTTTTCTTATTAAGAAATCAATTTGTCTTTGGGGAAACTTCAGATTCCAAAAACAATAGTAAATTTCCCCAAGGTTTACTATATTTTTTCACTGGTTTCCTCATAGATCACGAATTAATTTATTTTTTATTTTATTTATTATTATTATTTTTTTTTAATCCTTTTGTCAAGAGACAATATTGCATTCTATTTATTGTCTTTATTTTGACTTAGATTAGTAATTTTATTGATCTATACTATAACTATTGTGTAATAATCACCTCTTTTCTAATAATTAATTTTTAAAGAATGATGAAAGTTAAGAAAAAATAAATTGGTATCTATACTAGTAGAATTATGCACTTTGGTGCAACAATGATACAGCATATTGAGAGCATATATTCGGCAATTAAACATGCACTTAAGACTTCTGGAAGCTTGACAAAGACTTTTAATTATTTGGATAGATGGCTACGTTTATATAGCTAGGAGGATTCTTTACAATATACAAATGAAAGCATTGGCATTAATCTCTTATTAGTGCATAGTGACAAGAATCATTTGGCACCACTCTTAGAAAAATAAATCAATTTGCTTTAAATCAGATTAAAAACAAACTTCTAAAAGCGACTACATATAAGGCCTGTCTGTGTGAACTACGAGTTAATTACAACATACTATGTAGACATATACTTCTAACCTTAGGTCCTGTATTGCTATCTATCATTTCAACAAGATGGCTATTATTTTCTGATAAAGATCGACTGGATTCTGATATTCAAATGCAAAGTTCAACTAACCCTGCTTTACCTGATGAACTTTTATTGCTCAAGTCTTGGTTATATGAAATCGAATCTTGATATGTGGATTTTTTAGATGAGCAACAAAAGTCAGCTCTTCTGGAAAAACTTAATAAGATCTTGGCAGTTTCTGCAGCTAACCTTTCTGAAGTTAAAGTCCCAGAGAAAATTGTAGAAAAGGGTCGTCCTTCTGGAACAAAACAATTGCCTATTGCTGTAGAGCTTATGGAGCAAAAAGAAAAAAAAAAAAAGCTAACCCTATTGAAAAAAAGCAAATCAAAAATATTAATTTTTTACTAATTTCTATTGAAAGTATATAAAAATTTTAAAAATAATATTAATAATTGTCAGAGATGATGCTGAAATCGAGTGATACTAAAATTTGAGGTTTTTGTTTAAAATATAAATCCTACCAATATTCACATATATTCTTTAATTATAAGCCCTACCCTAAATAAATAAGTTCAAATTTCAGTATAATTCAATTCAGGATCATCCCTTACAATAATTGGTAATTTTTTTTTTTTCTTTAGATCAAAAGCTAAAAGTCCCATTAAGTTCGCAAATTCTTGCTAATGATATAGACCAGATTTATGATCCAAAAAGCAATAGTAACTGTGAGTTTCGATCGCTTGCATTCGCTATTAAAGGAAATGAGAAAAATTGGATTTTTGTTAAGTTGGCTATGAATAGTCAATTAACTAAATGCATGGAAGTTTATAAAAACTGGCTTGGATACAATACCAATTTGCTTAGTCAAATATTAGGATACAGAGCATTACCATGTCTGCCTTCTTTTTGGTTTCTATTTCTTGATTGTGCACAATTGGCTGCTGATATATTCTCTGTCTCTATCACTATTTTTGATAAGTTAAACGGGCAGAGTATGCTATTTTTCTCATTAAAAACCTTGCCAACATATAGAAGAAATCCAATTATCTTATATTTCATAAATAGTAATCACATTATTTATATAAGTATAAAAAATTACACAAATATAAATTGGCTAATGGTTAATGTATAATACGCACCAATATATCAAAAATATGATCTTGTTGACTATTGGTTAAAGTTATTCACATAATCTATTTTATACATAGAAACAACTACATTAGATTGCTCTAGAATTGGCATATTTGGAAATAAGTTTTTAAAAATCAGATTCTAAATGAATGTCAAATAAAAGAAATAAAATATATCTTTGTTTACATAATTTTTTTGTTTTTGCTTAAATGCATTTATATTTATGAATTTTAAAACTAATTAATAATAGTAATTATCATAAATGATTGTGAAATTGAATTTGGATCTATTTCATGTATATATATATGTATGATTTTTAAAAAATTTTTGGGACTTTTTTTGTTGTTTATTTTTCTATAGTTAACATTCGCGACAATAAATATTGATACTACTTCAAATACAAAAAAAATAAAGTGCATGTTTGGTTTATATATTGTTATAGACACAACTACTGTATAAGTAAAATTGCTATTAGAAAATCAGTTTACATAGTTGAGTAGATAATTGTTCAATTTAATGTTGATTGGTTAAAAATCACGTTAAAATTATGTGGGCTTTTATTGGTCAATTTTGTTGTGCCAATAAGACAATAGTCACATGAAATATTGTGCTCATAGCTTTCCCCTTTGTTGGTGATCCTGGAGTAGTTTACGGAGAAAGATCTACAAACAGTTCTTACAGACAGTATGGATAGTCAAATTCATGTGATATTGCTAAAACCACTAAATCTTAACTGTCCCTAACAACTATTCATGTGATTTAAACTGTCTCTAAGATCTGTCTGTAGCTTGTCCGAGTTTACAGGTATATACCAAATCATGTGATTTTGCATGTACCAAATATCACGTGATTTAGACATACATAAGTTGTCGAAGACAAAGTTTCTTGACAAATGTCTAATAGAATTAATAAAAATCTGTTTGAATCACTCTGCAAATTAGTGAATTCAATAAAAAAAATTTGATAAAATTCTATCAAGTAGCTGTCAAAAATTTTTTACTCAAAGTTTAGAAAATTTTCTACTACAAAGAAAATAGCTACGGCAAAAATCTTCTAAACTTTGAATGAAAATTTCTCAACTTTCTGATAGAATTCGATAGAAAATTTTAAATAACTTCTACAAATTGATAAAAAAAATTCATTGAATTCCATCAAGTAGTTGTCAAAAAAATTTCATTCAAAGTTTAGAAATTTTTTTCGTACTTAAGAAAATATCTGTAACAGAAATTTTCCAAACTTTGAATGAAAGTTTCTTAGCACCTACTTAATAGAATTCGTTAAAATTTTTTTTAAATAAATTCTATTAAATAGTATAGTTCATTTAAAAAAATTTTAGTGAATTCTATTAAGTAGTTGTCAAGAAATTTTCATTCAAAGTTTAGAAAAATTTCTGTCACAGCTATTTTTCTAAAGGCAATAAAATTTTTTTTCAAACTTTAAATGAAATTTTCTCAACAAATACTCAATAGAGTTCGATGATTTTTTTTTAAATGAATTATATGTATTCGTAAAAGTTATTTAAAAAAAATTTTATCGAATTCTCTCAGGTGGTTATTAAGAAATTTTTGTTCAAAGTTTAAAAGATTTTTGCAACAGCTATTTTCTTAGAAAGTAGTGTCCAAATTTTGAGTGAAATTTTCTCACAACTACTTGATAGAATTCGATGAAATTTTTTTAAAATAAATTCTACTAATTTGTAGAATTGATTTTAAACAATTTAATTAAATTCCATTAGGTAGTTGTCATCCAAAATTAAGAAAACTTCTACTTTGACAACTTACGTACGTCTGTATTATATGATATTTAGTACATGCAAAATTACATGATATCCAGTACATGCAAAATCATGTAATTTGGTATGTGCCTATAGATAAGATTTTTAAGATTTTTTATACCGTATTATACAATTGGTATAATATCTGTATAATGCCAGTAGTATACACAGAGGGTACAGTCATACCTCTCTATAGTCACTCTCTATATAAGCGTATTATATAAAAATTCTCTTTATAATCACATTTATTTTAAAACTAACTATTATAAATATATAGAAAAAAAACCTCTTTATAAGCACATCTTAGTAAAATTCTCTTTATAATCACACAAATCTTTATCCTAAGAGTGTGATTATAGGGAGGTTAGACTGTATATATATAATACCAATAATTAAAAACAATTTAGCCAATTAAATTGTTTTATTTTATAACACAAAGATTTTTGATTTAAACATAGAAATTTCTGAAAGATTCTGAACCATATTAAACTATAGAAACAAAATAATAATTATACTGTATTATGCAGTATTATACAGTATTATATATAGTATTATACTACTATTTTTATTATACTGGTATAATTAAAACCCTACCCATAGACTGTCCACTTTAGACAACCTCCAAATACAGAAAGTCTATAGATATGTACAGGCAGTGTTGTATGTTTTGACTGTCCAAAGGCTTTTTTGATACTGTCCAATGTCCAAGTATCCAAGTATCCACAAGTGTCCAGAGCATGTCCAAGCTTTAATAATTAATAAATTTGTTTAAAAAATATATAATTATA